ATATATATATATATATATATATATATATATATATATGCCGGAAACGCAGGTCTGTTGCTGGCCACTGCTGTTGCAGTGCAACGTTCTATTGAGTGTCGCCTCTTGGTGATTCTAGGCTCTTTGGTACCGCCACTCCAAACATATAATCAAATGATCAGACTCTTGAAAATTAATGAAAACAAACTTGTAAAACTTGCATAAATTAATTATTCATTGTAAAGGCTCCTAAACACATGGAAGCTTTTTGTTTGTGTTTATCGTCAGCGTTTTACGAGAGTTTTTTTTCGCATTCAAACCCAAGCGATTTTCACTGGCGTTGAGCTGAAGAGTATGCAAAATCCTTCCTTGACGTTAGATGGCGCTACACAACACAACTTTAAGCTTCCGACACCTGCTTGTAACACAGAAGAAGAGGAAGAGAGGAAGTTCACACACTTGTTGTTAAAGTTACTGGTGACTTGAACTAGCATGGATGGTTCAAGCAGCTGCTCTAGCGATGAAGAAATGATTATTGTTCACCAGAGCAATAAGCAGCTCCACGTTCATATCGTCTCTGGGCATCTTCTTCAATGTGCGCTCGCATTGACAGTTTTGCGCTTGAGCGCCTCCAAGTGCTGTTTTCTGTAACTTCAGCAGCTCCTCGCATGTGAACAAAAGTGCCAATCTGATTGGTGGAGAAGGTTTTAACGCGGCATGTTAAATCAACAAAACAAGCATGAGTTGTTTTGTTTATTTTTTAATTATGCTTTTGCGCCTGGCGTTTTGCGCGTTGGTGTGCACGATCACATTGACGCCCTTTATATAGTCACGAGGCGTTAAACGTTGACAGAAAACATTAGCAAAAAACGTCTCGTTGTGCACAGGCCTTAAGGATAACAATGGGTCACACTTTATTTTGATGGTCTGTTTGTTAAATTTAAGTTACATTGCATCTACAAGCCAATGAATTCTTATTAAATTAACAGTAGACTCGTAGGTTGGGGTTAGTGTAAGTTGACATGTACTTGCAAAGTTTCTTATAGTCAGTTACATGTCTGTTTAGCAGCAATATCAACAGTTATTAAGCAGACAGTCTACTAATACCCAAATGGACCATCAAAATAAACCGTTACCTAACTATGTGAGCTATCAAAATAAACATTGAAAATCTTGATTTCACTTGGTTGTTAAGAGCTTTTGAGAACCTCAGAAATGTAAAAAACATCCATTGAAACCAAAAGATCATCAAGATTTCCTGTTTTCCAACTAGACTAGATAAACAATCCAATTAAGATCAAAGAAATCTAATAGCTTGTATGTTTAGGACTAGTGATTGAATTGTAGCTTGTTTCTTGCATTCTCGAGGTCAAAATGAAGTCCTCCAGTGAAGGGCAGGTCTCTCCATATTGCACAACACCCACAATCCCCTCTGCCAGGAAACCCTGCCAATGATAAATCATCGCTGCAGGCACGTCGTTCACCGGCTGCGTGTTTTAAAATGCCTCTTTGGCATTGTTTTCTATTTTGAACGCAGGCCATTTGTTATTGAAGGGGACGCGGTGGCCTTCGTGCGTGCCAGGCGTTTTTTGGGTAATGGGCGACAGGTTGTTGTGTTATGCTGGCCTGAACTGCGTCGGCCTGCTCATCTCAGTATCAGGCTGTGGATTCTGGGTGTGTGTCGGTGCCAGCAGGGCTAAAGCTGCATGTTAGTCACATTACTGCATGGGGAGGCTGGAGATTAGCATTATGCCGCATGGAGATGCCATCAAAAGACCTTCCACCTATAGGGCTGAACAATATATTGTTCGAGTTTCGATGAAACATTAACTAAAGGTGAAATATTAACTAAACTCCTCTCTTGAGTGTGATATGCCTCGCATACTAATGAAGCATTTTTGCAGAAATAGACGAAGCTGATTGAAATGCAAAGGCTTGATTTTCTAAAATGAACTTGAGCTCTGCAGCGAAACTTCCTTTGAGCAGAGATGGGTTAAAATTTAACACCGAATACTAGTAGTTGAGAAGTCTTGTGTTTTTAATGTTGTGCAGAGAATTTGTAGAAAAAGAGGATGTATGTATGGGTGCGCCCAATAAAGGACTGGCGAATGATTGACAAGTGACGAATTTCCATAAATTTTGCATTGCACTAGGGACACCAGAATTCTGTGAATCGATATATTTATTTGTACTTAATAAATTACTAATTATCTCGGCATTGATCTCCAATATTCAAACATTATCTTACAAAATAACTTATGGTAATGCTTTAAAAATGAGTACACCCAAATTTATATGTAATAAACAAATATTAAATATGAATTTTAAAAAGAGGACGTATGTATGGGTGCGGCCAATGGGGGACTGGAGAATGATTGACAAGTGAAGACTTTTACTAAACTTCACAGCTTAATATCAGCTGCCTATAAAAGTTGGAGTCCGGAAATGAATATTGTTGCGCACCTCCTGAATGTAAATTTTGAATTGCATTAGGGATGCCAGAATTCTGTGAATCGATATATTCATTCGTACTTGAGAAATTTACTAATACTTTTGACATTGATCTCCAATATTCCAACATTATCTAACGTAATAACTTACGATAATAGTCCTAAAACTAGTACACCCAAATGTATAAGACTAATATTAAATATAAATAAAGAAATATATAAAAATATTTTTTGCAATATTTTGCTTGAATTTAATTGAATTATCTTTCTATTTCTATCTATGTTTGGTGACAAAAATCTTATTTTAATAAATATATCTGTTTAATAAATCAGTTTTGTTTAAATGCATTGCCTAAATTCACTGAGAAATTAATACAAATATTCAGTTTCAAACTGGGCTGTACTGAAATATGCTGAGCACTGTATGTGTATGTACTGCACTGTACAAAAAAATCCTGGTTGCATTAAAATTTTAAGGGGAGACAAATTAACTTTATGAGTCCATTGAACTTATATTATGTTAAACTGACTTAAAACAACTTGTGTAACTCATAAAATGAAGTTAGAACATGATTAACTAAGTTAAATAAGTTACAATGAACTAAAATCATATGCTGTCATTGATCATATTTTTTTTACAATGTATTCTTCTACATAAGTGCACATTTTTATGTAAGTGTTTTTATTAATGTGACTTCTTTTTCTTTTGTATTTGAACAGGAATGGGCCATTAACCCTTCAGAGAAGCCAGAGAGGCAGGGACCAAGAGAATGCACAACATTCCTTTTTTTATTATTATTTGTACTTTTATTAAAACCAAAAAGAAAAAAAAAATACAAGCATTTTATACAGTCAGGATGAGAAGACACGGTATAAAAGAGAGTAAAAAAATAAATAAAAAAAACTATATAAGTATATATTTTATCACTGTATTCACCATCTTGCACCGTCAAAACATGAATGCGTTGTATAATGTGAAAAACGAGCGATCCTACTTTTAATTCGGTTTGATTATATAGCAAATATATAACTGCAGCCAACTCGAAGCATGACAAGATTGTTTAAGGAGGAGGATGAGGAGCATAATATAAATTTAGCTCATTGAAACACGTTAGTTACCCTTCTCACCTGTTAATTTATAACTTGCGCAAAGCTTCACCTTGCATTCCATATTGTTTGCCAGTTCAGTCCGAATATGAGCACCGTAGAGTAGCTGTATTTTGTACTTTTTTTGTCGCAATGACTTTTTTTTTTCTAAATTGTCTTAATAATATATGTTAGCACATAGTGTAAGTTTTTGTAATTAACTATATATTTTACAGCTTGATACAAAATGGTCTTTGCTTCTGCTCTCAATATTATTTTATATCAAAGCAAGTTTTAATTCAAGTCCATTATAGTTGTACTGTTATCATTATTACATTATCGCTGGCTTTTTTTTTACTCTTGGAAACACATCTTTTTGTAAGTGTTAATCACTATGTCATGTGAAATTATCGGTATTGGTGAAAGAGTGTACTCAGAAGTAAGGGAAATGCACTTTTGGGCTTTTAGGGACAGATCACCTAATAATGAGCATTTATTTTGTTTGTTTACCCAGCCTCAGATATTCCAAGATGACTTTTGGCTGGCTTTTTCATTTAACACTCAAAAGAAAAGACTATTGCTGCTTGTTCAAACTGCTCTTAAAGTCAGTTAAAACAATGCCACTTTGAATTATTTGGGTGGACAGCTTTATTTATGTTCATACTACTTAGTGAAGTTTGTTGACAAACTAATTTCGAGAGCATCACATGCTTATGATTGATCACAGCTGGTCCCTCATCAGTTCATGATTGATCCACCAATCAGATGATCCCTAACCCACTATAAATAACCAGTTTTCTAATCTCAGTATCCCCTTATATCCCCTTATAGACCACTACTCCCCCTCCTTTTCAGATGGGTGACATGGTGGCTCAGTAATTAGCACTGTTGCCTCACAGCAAGAAAGTCTCTGGGTAAAATCTCTGGTTTCTAATCCATTTCTGTGCAGAGTTTGCTTGTTTTCCTCGTGCTCGCGTGGGTATTCCCCGGGTTTTTCAGTTTCGTCCCATAATCCAAAAAACATGCAACCTAATAAATTGAACATAACCAAATTGATACCATAGCCAAGCTCTTAGCAAGCCGTACATCTCTCCTTAGCCTTCTTATATGCGTCATTAGCCAGAATTAAGTCAGGGGAGTTCATCGAGATCTACCTGAACTCAAACTCCTCTCTCGCTCTGCAAATGGGAGAGGCTTTCTCCCGGGACAGCATGCCAAATATGCTTTATTATTAATCATTAGCTAAGTTTAAACTCTAGAAAATATGTTAAAACACTTTTAGTTAACTTGATCGATAAGCAGTTTGTTTACAGTAAAGATGATGTGGTATTGAATGAACTGTGGTAGTGAATAAAATGCACCACTTGCAGGGTAAAAAACTCATTAATACCTGTAGTTCCTCATGTCTTGTTATTAAAATGATCAGTGTGTGCAAGAAAACTATTTTAATTACATCATTGTTGTCTTTAATCCACTGCTTCAGCTCCACACTGTAAAAAGAATCGCTGCTGGGTTCAACCCAATTGAAAGAATTAAGTTAACCTAGCTTTTATACATTCAAGTTGAACATAATACAATTAAGTTGTCCCCAAAAACAGCTCCAGAATTGTGCTGTTTTAGCTCGAGTTAGCGAATATAATGATTAATTTAGTTTTGAATGTATTTGTTTAATGTTTTTCCACTCTCAAAGTCTCAATCTACATCTTGGATGGCCTGAGGGTGAGTATAAATGATCTGAAATGTTTCATTTTCGGGTGATCAATCTCTTTAAATGGCATGATTGATCAAATCTTAGCATATAATGCAAGACATTGTTTCCAAAAACACATCCTGACTTCAGCAAAGTGAATGTCTGAGTCAGTTTGTGTTTATCCTTTAAGTGTTTCAGTTTCTTTCTGTGTTGCAAATCAGTTCATACTAAATGGCAGCATTGATGTTGCCTGCTTTCGATAGCTAGCTGGCAGAACCTCAATAATGTTGTCATGTTATATTAAAAAAACAAATGTGTACCACTTCTGACTTCTTTTGTCAGACAAAGAATATCCAGTTCTGCCACCGTAGCTTAACGCAAATGTCTCTAAATGTTCAACGTTCCTCTATTCTGCTTGTATTTCTTTGACAATCAAGTTTTTCTTTTTTACTATTTGTAAACACTTATGTATTGTTTCTGAGTAACACTATGCAAGTCGCACCACCTTTAATTGCAATTACCTGAACATTTGTAGCCACTAGTTCCATACAGAGCAAATGTTTCAACGTTGTATCATTGTCTCAGTGACCACAATAAAGAGACCAATGGAAAAATCACCTGTGATGGCTTGCTTTTTAATACTGACCCTAAAAACATATACAGTCCAGGCTGAAATTATTAATATCCTTTTATCAAATTCATACTTTGTCACTTTTATTGTACCAGCAATTTTTTGGGACTGAAAATGACTCTGGCTTCTCCCAAAATATGATAAGATAATGTACAAGAGGTACTGTTGTGCGGGGAAAAGATATGCTTTTATTTACATTTGAGCAAAAACTTTAAGTTAGAATCCATCAGAGGTATAAATAATAATGGGGTTGATTGTATATACCGGCACATTAATAAGTACACCTTACTAGTACCCAGTTTGACCTTCTTTTGCCTTCAGAACTGCCTTTATCCTTCGTGGCATAGATTCAACAAGGTACTAGAAATATTTCTTAGAGATTTTGGTCCATATTGACATGATATCATCACACAGTTGCTGCAGATTTGTCAGTTATGTGAATCTCCCATTTCACCACATCCCAAAGGTACTCTTTTGGACTAAGATCTGGTGACTGTGGAGGCCATTTGAATACAGTGAACTCATTGTTATGTTCAAGAAACCAGTCTGAGATGATTTGCACTTTATGACATGGAGCGTTATCCTGCTGGATATAGCCATCAGAAGATGGGCACAACGTGGTCATAAAGGTATGGACTGATACAATGTAGCAGCATAAATGAAGACTCATCAGACCAGGCAGCGTTTTTCCAATCTTCTATTGGCCAATTTTGGTGATCCTGTGTGAATTGTAGCCTCAGTTTCCTGTTCTTAGCTGACAGGAGTGGCACCCGGTGTGGTCTTCTGCCGCTGTAGCCCATCTGCCTCAAGGTTCGACGTGGTTTGCCTTTAGAGATGCTCTTCTGCATACCTCAAATGTAACGAGTGGTTATTTGAGTTACTGTTGCCTTTCTATCCACTGGAACCAGCCTGAAAAGGCATTCGCCCCATCAACAAGGCATTTGCGCCCACAGAACTGCCACTCTTACTGGATATTTTCTTTTTTTCAGACTATTCCCTGTAAAACCTAGAGATCGTTGTCTGCTAAAATCCCTGTAGATCAGCAGTTACTGAAATACTCAGACCAGCCTGTCTGGCACCAACAACCATGCCACGTTCAAAGTCACTTAAATCAGCTTTCTTCCCCATTCTGATGCTCGGTTTGAACTGCAGCAGATCATCTTGACCATTTCTGCATGCCCAAATGCATTGAGTTGCTGCCATGTGATTGGCTGATTAGAAATGTGTGCTAACGAGCAGTTGGACAGGTGCACCTATTAAAGTATCCGGTGAGTGTACGTTGACGCAAGTTAAATGCTCAAGCAAATATGCTGTTGAGAAAATGTGATGTGTTGAGAGCGAGTTACAGTAAACCTCCTGAATATATTGCAGTTGTCCCTTTGTGGTATTTTTTTTTTTTTAAAAGAGTCTTCTGCAGGTTGCATACAATGACACTTAGATGTTGCAGTGCTGGTGATTTATTCTGTAAGGTAAGAGTTTAACCATTTGCTGCTTTGTTGAGAAATTTGATGAATATATTAACTTGTCTAGAGAATTCTCTAAATAGCATTTTAATGTCGTTGACGAATCCACAACTTATTAATGTGCATTATCAGTCAACATTGCGGAAGTATCAGCATAAATGTTCTTTTCAATGTATTTTGATTGGCTTGTATTGTACTTCAGTTGCTATTGGATCTAGTGTCTGGAAAAAAACATTCAATATAATATATACAGTTGAAGTCATAATTATTTGCCCTCATGTGCATTTATTTTAAAATATTTCCCAAATTATTTATAACAGAGCAAGGAATTTTTTACAGTATTTCCTATAATATTTTTTTTTCTCCAGGAGAAAGTCTTATTTGCTTTATTTCGGCTAGAATAAAAGCAGTTTTTAATTTTTTAAAGCATTTTAAGGTCAATACTTTTAACCCTCTTGAGCTATATGTGTTTTTTTATTGTCTACAAAACAAACTACTATGATACGACCTGCCTAATCAACCAAACCCACCTAATTAACCCAGTTACACCTTTAAATGTCACTTTAATACTAGTATATAGAAAAAAGTCTAGTCAAATATAATGTACTGTCATCATGGCAAAGATAAAAGAAATCAGTTATTAAAACTATTATGTGTGTTTAGGAAAATCTTCTCTCCATTAAACATAAATTGGGGTCAAATATACAGGGCAGCTAATAATAATTCAAGAGGGCTTATAATTCTGACTTTAAATATGTCATATATAAACTACACTGTCATGCTCCACTCCCTCTAACAATAGGCTAAGCTATAACAGCCAATCAAAGCACACCAGTGTGGTCACCTGATCTGGCAGGTCTGTATTAGGTGAGCTTTGGGTTAGTTTGAAACTGTCTGCTGCACCAACCATCAAGATAAGATCCCTCTCTTTCTCCTTGAGCAGATCTCAGGTAAGCGGTTTTAGTTTTTCCTATTAAATTTCCTCTGCATGAAACTGTGACCTGAGGCCTGAGGATGGCTATATTTCATTCCTCTGCATGGCGTAGTCAATGCCGTCATCAATGCAATGCTGGTCCTGTTCGCCAGAGGGACTGCTGGTTTGCATGCTTTGGGTTTTTCTGCTAATGCAGCTTAATGCAGACTATCAATGGCAACATTCCTGCCACTGATATTTCAGCCTTTCGGATGGAGCACGACCAGCCCTTACTTATTAAATGTAAAATGTGCGTAATTCCAAAGTGAGACGGTTAATCTGCTGCAAAGACTTGGTGGATTTTTTTGAAGAAGCTTTCATTATCACAAGCACTGGATGTGAAATAAACCTTCATCCAGCATGATCTCTGTCAAGAGCTGTTAGTTTGACAAACCACAGCAGCTATTGAGTCCAAATGAAACCCATCATTTCAAATGGACAACCTTCTGCTGATTTTGCATGTGTGGTAGTACTTAGGAGTTTAACACTGTAATTGAAATAAAAGCAAGTTGCTGCAGAAGAACTAATTTACGTTTTTTCAGCTTACAAAACACTGTAAAGGGTGATCAGTTACTTGAAGCAAGCAAACCAACTGCCCTAAAAGCAACACTTTACTTAAATAAAGTAACTAACCCTATTTTAACTTGGAAATGTTAAGCTGGTTGTAGCCCCGGCTGGTTCAGTTGGCATTTCTGTGTGGAATTTCCCCTGGGTGCTCCACAGTCCAAAGACATGCGCTATAGGTGAATTGGATAAACTAAATTGGCCGTAGTGTATGTGTGTGAATGAGTATGTGCTGATGTTTTCCAGTACTGGGTTGCGGCTGGAAGGGAATCCGTTGCATAAAACACGTGCTAGATAAGTCGAGGAATTTTGCTGCAATGTCATATACAAGATTCATTATGAAACTATTTGGAACAAAATAAAGTTTCACAAACTAGTTTCGAGAGGAGCATGTGATATCACTGATTTCTGCAATCAATAAACCTGTCAGATTTATTCCAAATTCACAATTAATAGCCGTAATAAGTCTCGCCTTACTCCGTTATCTTTGTTTTTAAAGAATCCCCCAACCAGCCCTTTTCCTACTTTACCAGGGGGAGCTCTCGAGAACTATCTAATCTTGGACCCCCTTACATGCTCATGGACCTGGCGGGAGCCTTGGGCTCAGTTCTCTGCGTACTCAGGGTTTTTTTTCCTGGACACCATGCCAAAACTGCTATTAATATTAAGCAATATGAATAATATGTTTTACCACTTTATTCAACAATAATGAAGACTCATTAGGATTATGTAGACTATATGTACATTTTTGTAATTGAATTGGATAAAGTATAAAAGGTACACTTGTAAAAATGTTAAACTTCTTGCTATCCCCTTGGTAAAACATTGTGTTTTAAAAAAATATTGGCAAAGTATAAAGCTTTAAAGTTGTAATCCATTTTGTGTTTTGGAGGCTGAACTGTGATCCTTAACATTTTTTTAACATTCTTAAACTTTTACTAATATTAATATAAACTTATTTTGTAACATAATTTAGGTTATCAATAAATTAGACATTATTTTATAGATGCAACACTGTAAAACTTTTGACCTTAAATTCACAGTAAAATACTGGCTAACTTTCACAGCAAAATACTGTATTGTAAATTCACAGTAAATTACCAAAAGTAATTTAAAATAAAAGGACCTTTGGTTTTATAAATAAATTACTTTTGTTTCTGTTTATTTTGTTTTGGCTAAGCACAATGTTACGTTTTTTATTTTATTATTATTATTATTTTGTATTTCCAGATTATTAAAAATTGAAATATTGGTGCAGTGCACCCACAAATGAAAAATTACTATAACATTCATGCGGTTTCAGATCTAATTTGTGAAGATGTTGGTAACCAAATTATTTTGGGGCTGCAATAACATTCTGTAAATATTTATAAATAAAAAAAAGTGTCTATAATACACTGTAAAACCCAAAAAGTTAAGGTAACTCAAACCATTTGAAGAAACCGATTGCAACAACAAACAATTTAAGTCCAAAAGCTAATCCTAATGAGTACTGTGAACTTAATCTATTTCAGTAAAGGAAGCAATTTGAGCACAGTAAACCCCGAATAAATGAAGAGAACTCAATCAAACTGAGTACTGTAAAACTCAATAAGTTAAGGCAACTCAAACCTATGAGGAAACTGATTGCTACAAACCATTTGAGTTAAAAAAAAAATCTATATGAGTTCTGTGAACTTAATCCACTTAAGTTGAAGTAATGAGGTATTTAATGAACTCATTACCTTCAACACTGAGTTCAAAACTCTTTTCAAATGAGTAGAAATAACTTTCAGTCGATTTTGAGTTAACCACTGATTTCATTTGATAAAGCTGACTGTTGAGTTTTACAGTGAGTATAAAAGTTCATGTGTATTCATTTCTACGTTGAATAAAAAAAAAGTTTGAATTCCTTTGACTAACATGCAAAAGATACAGCCATTTTTAAAGTGCTTTGTTATAATCATGCTACCTTAATTTCACAATAAAATTCTGGACACAACATATTACTGTGAAGTTTTACACTTGAATCCTGTAGAGTGATACTAATGTGATTTACAGTGAATATTTACAGTAACCTAGTGAAATTAGGGGATTTTTAATGAACTTTTGAAATATATGTTGGTGTTTCTGGTTTTTTATTTAATTTATTTAGCTTTTTTTTTGTATTTTGTATTGACATATGGATGTAATTTCTGCAATTCAATCTTGATATTGCTTTTTAAAAAGCTGCTTTTACACTGATTGACATTTCAGTAAATGTCTTCTATAAATAATGGTCAAACACTTATTAAAATACAACTAAACGGCACACATTTCCCAGTAAAAAGCTAAATAAATAAAGCTGTATCACACTTTGTTTTGATTCTCGAAAACACATTTTCCATGCTCCAGCCCTCATACATTCTGACACGACTGTTCATAATCCTGGCGAGCTGCATTAAACTAGACAAGTCTCTATAGTCAGTGTGTGCAGTGGAACAATGTCCCGCACGAACAATGTGCTTCAAAAATAGATGACAAGGCCACTGGCGCTGTTTATTTACTCCGAGAATGAGGAATGAACGGCAGGCCTGCAGGAGCCCAGCCAAGTTCACTGTCTGGAAAAGTGTGGAGCACCTGTTCAAATCCAACGTTTATTACAGGCTAAAGTTAGACACCTCCGCTCATTCATCATGTTTATAGCGAGCTGATTTATTTACAGGACAGCTCCTTAAACACTGTAGTGAATATGAATCTGTGTTACGGTCCAACAGTGATGAGTGTTTGTGTCTGGGATCAGAGTCACTTGTTGAAGAAGTTAAAAGATGATTTGTTGACCGATAGTACAGTTGAAGTCAGAATTATTGCATATTTTTTCCACAATTTTATAACATACTGGTTTAATAACTGGTTTCTTTTATCTTCGCCATGATGACAGTACATAATATTTTACTAGATATTTTTCAAGACACTTCTATACAGCTTAAAGTGACATTTAAAGGCTTAACTGGGTTAATTAGGCTGGTTAGGGTAATTAGGCAAGCCATTGTTTGATGATGGTTTGTTCTGTAGACAATCGCATAACATATTGCTTAAGGGGGCTACTAATATTGACCTTAAAATGGTTTAAAAAGATAAAAACTGCTTTTATTCTAGCCGAAATAAAACAAATAAGACTTTCTACAGAAGAAAAAAAATATTCTAGAAGTACTCTGAAACATTTCTTGCTCCATTTAACCTCATTTGGGAAATATTTGAAAAAATAAACAGGATAATTTTGGCTTTAACTGTACATGCTGAAATAAGTGGATAATGACTGAATTGTTCAGATGCATGTATAAAGTCCCGTTATAACTAAACTGCTTTGTTTTTATCAGGAGTCAACTAGTCATGGCTGACACAGAAGACGTTGTGGAGGAGGAAGTGCAGTACGTATGATTGTTTTGATTCGTTTATAATCTGAATAAAATTCTGCAAAATAGACATCTTCACTCAACAAATTGCTAATATAATTCACTTTTAGCTACAAAGAAACAAGTGTTGTTAAGGCTGAATTTGTAATTTCTTAAAACAGTGGTTCTCAATTCCAGTGCTCGGGGCCCCCCCCCTCTGCACATTTTGTATGTCTCTCTTATTAGACACACAAGGATCAATTCATGGATCTCTCTATGACTTGAACAAGTTTTGAATCTATTCAGTTTTTTTTTTTTATCTGGTAGAATCAGTTTTAGCTTAGCTTAGCAAAATGAATTGAATCAGATTAGACCATTAGCATTTCATTTAAAAAAATCAAAAAAGGTGGAGTGTTCCTTTAAGTCAGAGGTGTCCAACCTCGTCCCAGAGGGCCGGTGTTATGGTGAGATTAGCTCCAACTTGTTGGGGGGTGGAGGACCACTGTCTTGAAGGAACACTCCACCTTTTTTTTTTTTTTTTTTTTTGAAAAAGCTCATTTTACAAGTCTCCTACGGTTAAACAGATGTTGCGAATAGTTTTTGAATCCATTCAGTTTTTTTTTTTTTTCTTTATCTGGTAGGATCACTTTTTGCTTAGCTTAGCAAAATGAATTGAATCAGATTAGACCATTAGCATTTCATTTAAAAATCAAAAAAGGAGGAGTGTTCCTTTAAGTCAGAGGTGTCCAAACTCTGTCCCAGAGGGCCGGTGTCTTGGTGAGTTTAGCTCCAACTTGCTTCAACATGCATTGTATATCCAGTAAGAGCTTGATTCGCTGGTTCAGGTGTGTTTGATTAGGGTTTGAGCGAAACTCTCAAGGACCAAGTGTGGACACCCCTGCTTTAGGTATATTACAGTAATCTTCTGAAAAATCCTTTTACAGTTAGATATTGTGAGCTTTTTAGAAATAACAAAAAAACTGTCTGATATTGGATAGTCTGAATGTGGCATTAGATTAGTGTATTTAATATAATAGTAATAGTATGTTAGAATAATAATAAATATTTTAGAAATTGCAGCTGTCAAATTGGCATTGCATTGTGAGATGCACCATTCTTCATGAACATATACTTCATAAAAAGTATAACTAAAAAGAAAACACGGGAAAAGTAAAGGAATAGCAAGTAATATTGAATTAATTACTGAAGTGTGAACTAAAACAATTAAAAAATGTAATGAACTAATATTATGTAATATCATGATGTTGTTTTATACATAACTATTAGATTTGATCAATATATAAAATGTTGACTTATTTGCCTAGAAAAAATGCCACATTTTCATACTTAAATATTCACTTTCAGACAAAACTTTAGTCATTTTCTAGAAAATAAAAATTAAAATGCTTTTATTTGTGATTATTAGATTTGATGGCTCCAGATAAAATGTTGACCTTTTTGTCTAGAATAGAAATATGCCACATATTATACTTAAATATTCACTTTCAGACAAAACTTTAGTCATTTTCTAAATAATAAATGCTTTTAATGACCATATATATTTTTTGTAATTATTAGATGTAATGGATATAAATAAGATGTTGACCTGTGTTTTTTGCAAAGAATAAAAAAATGCCTCCATTTTTATCCTTAAAAATTCACTTTCAGACAAAGCGATAGTCATTTTCTAGAAAAAAATGCTTTAAATGATAATATTTTTATTAGTAATTATTAGATTTGATGGATATAGATACGTTGTTGACTGATTGTTTTGCTCAGAATAAAAAATATGCCATGTTTTCATACTTAAATATTCACTTTTAGACAAAACTTTAGTAATTTTCTAGAAAATAAAAAGGTTTTATATGACAATGCTTTTATTTGTGATTATTAGATTTGATGGCTACGGATAAAATATTGTCTCTTTTAACTAGAATAAAATATGCCACGTTTATATTCTTAAATATTCACTTTCAGACAAAACAATTGTCCTTGTCTATTTAAAAATACTTTAATTTTAATATTTTTATTAGTAAATTGGAAGAAATTTTCTCAGATCTTTATTAAAAATAAAACAAATAATATCAATTCACTATAACCTATGCTTGATATATCTAATGAAACATTTTCTTGTGAATAAAAACTGTAAATTCCTCTCCTATATAATAAGTAAAGTACTTCAATAATCTGTTTTATTTATAGCATTGAAGAATCGGTGCAACTAACGTTATTTTCCATTATGTTTATTCCCCTCTGTTTGTGTGTAATAGGGAAGGTAAGCCAGCCTGAAATCATTACCTATTGGTTACACCTTACCATTAGCCATATTCATACACTAACCATTATTTACCCTTCATGGAAATGTAAGATGATTCAGATGAAGTTGTGCATGACGTCTGCTATTCTAAAACCAAGCTCATTTCCTATTAAAATTGCTGTTGTCCATGTCCAGTCCGATCGAGTTACTTAAATAATGAATATACAGTTGAAGTCAGAATTTTGTAAAAATTCTGTAAAATTTCTTTCCAATATTTCCCAAACGATGTTCAACAAAGCAGGGATTTTTTTCATAGAACTTCCTACAATATTTTTTCTTCTAAAGAAAGTCTTATTTGATTTATTCTGGCTAGAAGGAAAGCAGATTTTAATTTTTTAAAACCATTTTATGGTCAATATTAATATTCCTCTTAAGCAACATATTTATTAAAATATCTAAATATATAATGACTAAAATATCTAGTCAAATATTATGTATTGCCATCATGGCAGAAATAAAAGAAATCGGATATTAGAAATGAGTTATTAAAACTATTATGTCTAAAAACGTGTTGAGGAAATTGGGGAAAACATATACAGGAGGGCTAAAAATTCTGATTTCAACTGCATGTGACATTGTTTCATCTATGTTTGTCCTCTCCATGTCCGTTTCTTTTTCTCCGTTCCCAATAACTGTCCATAAATCTCAAAATGTGATTCAAACGATCACGTAGAAATCATATTCAGTTCCTTTAACACATCATTCGGTCCATTACAAATGACTACATTACAAGCTGTTGGGTGGATCTCAATGTTCTGACAACTGATGATCTGTAGACTTGATTGAGCATCTTGATCATGCAAAATATTCCTCTTATGCTTCTGAATGTATTTGCTACTAATGCTTGTTATGTTCACTGTAGTGGAGGAAACCGAAGAGGAAGGTAAAACTCTGTTCAGTGTGGGTTGTGCTGCTTTTTAATGCATGCATGCTGTGCACTTTAGCATTAACTCACAATTAAGATTCAGTTAGCATTGAATGTTATTAGATGAGCTAAGAACTATTAGATTAGATCAGTGTTGCTCAACCACGTTCATAGAGGACCACCAACACTGCATGTTCTGTATGTCTTCTTTGTCTGTTACACCTAATGCAGGTCTTTCAGTCTCTGCTAATGAGCTGATGATCTGAATCAGGTGTGTTGTGCAAAGATGGGCAGAGCTGGTGGTCCTCCAGGAACGCGGTTGAGAAACACTGGATTAAATTATTTAATAATGCATGAAGATTTTTTTTCTGAGGGTATGTTTGCATGACACTGTTTTCAAGTATAAAAACTAAAATTCTTATGTGCTTTGGGTGATCGTTTAAATGGCAATAGTGAGTTTGGAGGCCTGGAAATGCCAATCAGGTTACAAAGTGTAGGATTTTGAACATCTATAGCGTTATATTCTCTATTTGAAGTATCTCACTTCTGATTTTGTGCGCAATTTTAGTCATCGTCTTTAATCTGCGAGACAATGTTGTCATCTGCATGCACTGTGAAGAAATTTAATGGCAAAAAGTCCTGACAACAAATGTTTAGATGCTACTTTAACCTAATTTCATAAGTTAGTCAGGTTTCACCTAAGTTGTTTTGTAGCTATACTAAGTTTAACGTAATATCCTCCTGAGACCCAACCCGCCCATTGACTTGTGTCCTCTGTATTGGACATTGTGTTTTCATGAATTTTCTTAGAATTTTTTAAGCTACTCTATCAAGTCCTGTTGTTGTGTTCAGAGGACATCCTGGGCTTTCTAGTGATATGTCATTTGATTGGCTGGCATGCCAGGAACCACTTCTAACACTGCATCCAAAATGGCCGACATACAAAACAAGCACATTTTATGGGTAGCAGAGAGGTATGTTCTTTTATTTTTTGAGTTCGGCTCTCTTTCAGTCTAAACTGTTTCAGGAAATTCAATACAAAAGGAAAAAAAATGGCTTTTGTTTAGTTTTTTTCATATAAATACTGGATTAATATCCCTTTACAGCCATATACTGTACAGTTTTGTTGTCTGAGTTTGCCGGTTGTTTCGAACTAAAATAGTCCTGCGGTCCACTACAGTGGACATGCTGTAAAATTAAAAATAAAACTAAAATGTAAAAACTCTAAATTGTAGAATGTTTTTAACCCAAAGGATGCAGGAAATCACAAATGAAATAAAGAAAAAAAATTATTTGGGTCTCAGGAGGATATATTTACTCAGATTGACTGATTGAGACTATTAGAAAAGTAAGCAAACTAAACTATTTAAGGCGGGAAGAATTATTTTACAGGGACAAATTTGAAAACAGGTAAACACGTTCATGTAAACATACCCTATAATTAATCTATAATAATTAAAACATGCCTATAAATAATTCATTGATGTTTATGTCATTGGTGTAATTATTTATTTCTTCCTTCCTTCCTTACTGCTCCTCCTAAAGTGGAAGGTACATTTTTAAATATGCTTTCCAACAATCCATTCATTCATTTATCTATTTCATGTTAGTTTGTTTGTGTACCCATTATATTATTGTCCATTCATTATCATAGTCATATAGACTAACGCATTTTAGCTGTAAAAAGTTTGTCCTTTTCCAATAACGTAAAACAAAAGCTAATGCATTATTGTGGTATTAAAAATGTATTCAATTACAATTATTAACTGTATTCATATTCATAATTTCTCTTCAATAGTGCCGCCTCCAACAGAGGAAGGTAAAGCATTAATCTGACTTTTACTTTGTGCTGATTTTCAGTCATTGACAGTGAAAGATGTGGTTTTTAAATAAGAAATTTTCAAAACTGATTACTTTAATACACAGAAAGCATAATACACCTAATATTTCATGTTATATTTCTATATTAGAGCCAGCCCCTGAAGTGGAAGGTAATATTTCTTAATATAATTACTGAAATATTTAGTAATCTTTGTATTAGCTATCTTTAAACATATGCATGAGATAAAATACCTAATATTTAAGTGCTTAACATTTTAACCTGCATTCAGGCAATTGAATTTCAATTGAATTTCTAGAAATTCCATGTTTTTCTTGTTTTGTTTTATCAAAAAATACACTCAAAATGATATCCTTAAAAAAAAGAGCTGAATTAACACAATTCCAGAGGTTTTTGAGGGGGGAAACTTAATTTTTATGTTCAATTTACTTTAATTTGTTAAAGCTGCATTTGTTACATTGCATTTCTGTCAGTCCTGAATGCTAGATTTAAGCATGTTATGCTACTATAACAATTTCTCAAGCTGCAGTTTTGACAAACAAACTAATGTGCTGTTCTTATACTAGAGCCTCCGGAAGTCGAAGGTAAATAATTCATGTTTTTCTGAATATTATGGTTACAGTATTTACACCTTACACAAGTGTCAATAAACCTTCATTCTTTATCTCATATCTGAACAGAGGAGCCAGAACCAGAACCACAAGGTAAAGCTCCTCAGCTTAACATTCATTCATAGATTATTATGAGTTATCACGATGATCTTTTGTCCATTTTGGCTTATTTTGCTGTATGTGGAAGGCTTGTGTTCTTCTTTATCGTCTGTTATTAAATAATAGAGAAGCCAAATTATGTTTACATCAATTATAAACTTTAAATCTTAACGATTAAGTTGTACAAAAGCTAATCATTTTGATTTTGTGACAAGCACAAGTGAATTAAATCAAATGCAATGATCCTAATCAAATGTGATTGCAATGATTGTGAACGCTGGAGGACAGAATCTGTGTTTATCTGTGAGGTTCGTATGTCATGATATATCAAATATCAGCGAATGTCTATGGCATGTGTGATGATTGAGACTGTCAGAACATTGGGTCATTTAGCTGGACATTTCTTTTGAAATTAAAACCTTTATTTCGTATTATTCCTGAATGATCAGCTTCATCCTAACAGCTTAGAAATGTGTCTGAGTGATTAGTGTTAATGAGAATTGTTATCTGCTCGTCAAACAGAAGCCCCGGTTGCGGAGGAAGTCACAGGTAACTCGCCTTAACTCGCATTAAAGTGTTAAGTTCACCCAAAAAGTGAAAATTGTGTTATTGATTACTCACTCTGAATGCCGTTCCAAACCTCTGAGACCTTCATTCGTCATCAGTAGACATTTTAGGTCAAATCGGAGAGCTCCCTCATCCTCCATAGACAGCATAGTCCTGATTGTATACATAGATAAACACAATTAATCTTTGTTTAAGTGGCAAACTTTATCATGTTTTGTGTTCAAGTGGTTTAAAATCACTGTTCAATTTGACTACAGCAGATTCACACATGCATATTTTGTGCAGTCCAACTTCAAATACGTGAAAAACATCCTCAAAACAGATCTTATGCCTTCAGTGGTTCAATCGAAATAGTATCAAGCTATGAGAATACTTATATATGTGCAGATAAAACTCAAATAATTCTTTATTCGACAGTAATTAATCGCATAATTACGTATTTTTGGGTGAACTAACCCTTTAATATGGCTTAAATCATTCTCATTGTCTAATTATTATCAGCTTTTATGTATTTTTTTTATCCTCAGATGAGACAAAACCAAAGCCAAAGTATGTCCTGCATTTATATTATTGCTTTTCAAATTAATTGCATTATTGTTTGCATGTTTTCATTATGAAATCTGTCCTCGATGATTATTTTAGATTCATGCCCAATATCTCGGCTCCAAAGATTCCTGAGGGAGATAAAGTGGATTTTGATGTGAGTAATGTGATGTGAGTTTTGATGTTTGGTGTTAAAACACACCGCTATTTGTGTTTTAGTTATGGAAGGTGATTGAGGTCAAAAGAAATGATGAAATTTGATCATGTCAACACACAAATTTGACCATGTCAGAAGAACATATAAAAAAAATCAACATTAAATTTTTGATTTATCATTCATTTACTAAAATCTACATTGAGCTTTTAGGAAAAACAGACTAAAAGACTACATGAAAACTGTGTTTCTTTGGATTTAAAATTTATATTTTTGTTGTGGTGCTTTAAGTTTAAGAAAAGCACATCAAAAATAAATTATACTCAAAAGCCAAACATTCTAAAAATATCCAAATGTTTTAGATATACATGATAAATGTAAACTGTCACCATGTAACCTCAGTCATATGTTTGTATTTTGTCCCAAGTTGCAAAACTATTGGATTACTTTCTTTAAAATTGTTTCTGATAATCTGGAGGTCAAGTTAGGTGTTTGCTTTTTAATCGCAGGATACTGTTGTCTTGGACTTCCCCACAACCCCCCTCTATTTCATTGTGGCTCAAAGATTTGGTATTTTTAAAACTTGAGAAAATTAAATACTATATCAGAGCAAGGGGAGATCAGTTTTTTTTTTTTAAAGAGGAAATAATTGATTGCATTCTTTAATGATTTAAAACCTTAGATGTGGATCGACCGAAGGTTTATATAGTTTGTTATTATTATTTTTTTCTGTATTTGTGTTTAGTTTATTTACAATTATTTATTATTATTTATTTATTTATTTTTATTTTGAGATGTTGATTGTTTTATTTGGGGAT